AGAGAAGGACTGAGATGTTGGAATGAAAAGAGAAGCAGGGAAAGGACTGAGAGGTGCTGTGTAACTGGAAACAGTTAACACAAAAGAGGTAAGAAAGGGGAGTGAGAATCGGAATGTAGCAGGAGAAGGGGAATGGGTTGGACAAGGGCCTGTATGTAAGGAACCAAGGTGGAATGGGAGCAGAAGTAGAAGTAGGTGGTTTAGGACACTGGGGTGAAGAGGGAAGGTTTGAAATGGGAGAGGTGCCCTGGGTCATGGGTGTGAGTAAGTGGAGACTTATTAGTAGCAGGATATCAAGGGCTGAAGTTTTAGGATAGAGGAATAGAACTTGGACAGCAGCCAAATGGTATGGAAAGTGTTATTAGACACTGGGAGAATTTTGCTGGGGGAGGAGGGGGGATAAGGCAGAAGTCCTGTGTCTGGACACATTCCTCAAGATTGCTGGGGGTGGGAGTGCACGCATGTGTGTATGCGCATGGAAGTCCACGCATGTGTGTATGCGCATAATTTCCTGCATTTGTGCTTCTCTGTGGAGAGACTAATTACCTACTGGTGAAGTTGATCTGTGGCCCAGAGCTCACCAACTCAGCCATAATCGTACAGACAGCAGTGTGAAGCCACATGATGGGATTCCTGTTCTTTATTTGACTTTTGGAGGAAAAAATCAACTGCCAATGATAGGGGAAAAAAATAGACTGAAAGACGACTGCATGCTTGACTCTGCAGTCTCAGAGTTGAGAAATGTGAGAATTAGAGTATCTGCACAGCTCAAAGGATTCAGGACAGTGTAGTGCAGGCATTGCCAAGGCTGTAGTCTGAATGTGGAGGGTGGGAATGCTGGGCAGCTGTTTCTGCTGCTGTCACATGATGCTAATCTGCTGTATTGCAGGGGGGTCTGTGTTTCAAGCTCTCAGTTTTTTTATGACATTTAGAAAGTGGTTGAATAGTTAGGTTTTCTTTCTGTCAGGTTGGAAAATAGATTATTAGCATACAAAATAAGCACTTTAGAATTTGTATTAAATGGGCTTGATTACATACCACTTTTCCGTAAGAGTGCATTTTGCATTTGAACTATTAAAAAACCATTATTATCTATAGATGTCACATCTAATTCCATCCTGTTAGTGTGCTTCAGGAGTTTATTAAGAGTGGGGTTTAGTTTCACATACAAAGTTTTTACTTCTAAATTGGAAGTGAAAAATTAAATTTCCTATTTCAACTCAAAGTAGGCTTCATGTTTATAACAACTGTTAAGCTGAACTCGTTTAACAAAGTATGTGGATAAACTTCTGTGTACTTTGAGAAGAAGCTTTTAAAAGCTAACTAAACAGGTTAACATATTCTGGTTTCCAAGTCTTTGTCAGATTTTCCAGTTAGCAGACTAAAATTTCAGTAATTGGTATTATTGCTTATATTTTTTTAATATTTTAAATATATTTACTTATAGATTACGCAAGTCTGAGCCTGCAACTTGCCATAATTCTGCATGTAGCACTGTATTTAGGCTTACTAAAGAAAAAATGGTGTTCTGTTTTAATTTTTATTGGTCTTTAAGACTGATTTTTCACTTGTATTTCTGCTGTTAGAGAAACAAATATAGTAGAGAAGCTCTTTCCAGAGAGTTTAAAATCTGCAGGCTATTACCATTATGGCAATACAGAGAACACTGCTTGTAGCTAACATTTGTGAACGTTCCTTGATAGAAGCTCTAAATTGCTAGCGACTATTCTGTTTTCAGTTTAAATCTTGTCTATACCAAATAATATCATACACTCCTCTTTTGAAAAAGACACAGTTTGGAAAATCTAGAAACATGGCAATTTTGTGAGACAATTAAATTGATAGTCATTTAGGGAAAATGGATCAGAAGCCGTCTAAGCTGCACCTAATTAACGGTTGTACTTTAAAATCTTTCAGATGCACATGTTAAAAATAAATCCTCTGGGCTTGGTTTGCAGCAGTTCTGAAGTTTTATGATTTCTTGTATTTTCATTTGGAAAGATGATCCCCTTTATCCTTTCCCTCAAGCATCAGTGTTGAAGTTGTGTTATTTTTTTCTTTTAATATTCTTATCTCTCTCTGTGAACAAAATAAGTTATGATGGACTCTCACTGTCTTGGTGGTTAGAAAATATAGTGGTGTAAATAGTAGCTGATTGCAAAACTATTCTTGCTGTGCTCCAGGGAACGAGTTTGTCTGACAGTCGGTAAATATGCAGGAAGAATAACGGGAAGATAGATGTGAGTCAGCTTTTGTGACTAGAGTACCTTTTTTCCTGCTG